AAGTCTGTTGCTATCATAGGCTATGTGTGTGGTTTACAAAAGATGGGAAAATGAAAAGCTCCTTGCATCTTTCTCCAAAAGAGTGTATGTGCGAGGACTAATTGATAATGCGGGGTTTGTATAAAATATATTGTACAAGAATGGTTGTTAAAAAATGTGCAGAGCAGAGCCAGAGTGAGTATGTGTCCTTGATTGTATTTCTGCAATGTGTGTGTACAAAAAAGCACATAACTTGTAACATGTACTTGTTGACTACTGTGTTCATAACACTCTCTCAGTACTTGATGAAATATATTGACCTTCTTTGGTAAGGAATGGGAATAGAGAAAATAATGGAAAATTGCTTGGGTGGAATATTTTGGTTATTAATTTTTTTGGCTTTAAACTGGATGTAGAACATCATATTTTCCCTCTCCACTCTGCCGTGGTAGGTGCCTTCCTTTTTTGATAACAAGCAATCCTTCTAGCCCTAAAGCAACAGTCAGCTATAATCAGCAGTAACATGAGCATACATATAAATAACTCCGTTCATTTGCATGTTTTTATACAAAGTTTTATGGAAAACTTAAGCTATCACTGTCTCAGAAAAGAGCCATAAATGTTTAAAGATTTGTTGGATTAATAATAAAAGTGTTTTGTTTTTTTTTTTTTTAAATTATAGTTATTAGCTAACTTTGGAAATCGGTGGTGGAGGCTTACAGCAGATGCAATGAGAAGTAGATTGTTAGACCCTGTAAATTAATGTTCTCCAATCTTTTTAAGCTGAAGTCTGAGCAGTTGCAAATGAAATCTGCTTTATAAATATTCACTTTTGAAGTCTCCATTTACATGTATACCTAAAAATTTGTCTAAATATCTGCATTTTAGGGGGTGGGTTTACAATGGCTTTGTAAATAGTCAAGCGATACCTAGTTCTTATGTAGAGACACCATAAGAAGGTATGTTTGAAAATAACTTAGATGACATCTTCCATTGTAACTCTGAAGATAATTTTATGCAAATAAAAGCTTAAATTTGAGTGGTCTATATACAAACAGTTAAATCCTAACCCCAAATCTACGAATTTCTGTATGACAAGAAATATCATACCTCCAGGTTTACTTTCTCACTAATTAGCATTGTGGTAAAATTTGTTTGTTAATAACTGGCATTTTAAGCACTTATTTGAGTCAGTTTCCAGATATGTAACTGTGGTAGAAATCTGTTGTACTCTTCCTTGATGATTTGCCAGTTATGCTGACAAATTCTTTGCTCTGTCATATTCCATTAGGCTTGTCAGCTAGCAGTGTGGTCTCTACTAAAGTGTTTAACTTTTAAACTGAGAAGTACTTAAAAAAGCATGTCATTTAGAGATAGATATGTTTGGATGTAAATTATGCTAGAGGACAAGAGTAACTTTTTTTTTTCCCCTCCAAATTCAGAGATTGTTCACAAGTCCATGGGTTAGATAATGTAAAAAGAGAAGCATAAAGTCACTACTCTGCAAAAGAGGGTCAATCTGTTCAGGGAATTAAAAAAAAATACAGTTAATTACTTCGTAGCTAAAGCAGTGTAGTGGTTTATTCAAAATTGAGGTTAAATCTCTGTTATCTACTGCAGTGTATAGAAAGTACCCATGTTTTCCTTAACTGACTAGTTTAGGTACTGGTAATACCAGACAGCACTGGAAGTTTTACCATCTTCTGATATAACACACACACAAAATATTCCCTCCCCTGCACTGCTTCCCCCTGCACCAAATGCTGAAGTTATGTCCATCTTTTAAACAGAAGAGCAGTTAAAATGCAACAGGTTTCAAAACATGTTAGATTAACTGTGTGCTTAAATGCTGTACTGATCCAAGCTCTTAGAACAGATGCAAGAAACCAATGGAGTAGAAGGCTACATTAACCGTACGTGCCAAATACTAATTGAAGGGTGTTTTAGAGGAAAATATATCACACCGCGAGGCTGCTGCTGCTGCTCCATGTCCCCAGGTCCAGCCACTAGCAAGGATGAAGATGTATTCCCAGTAGGCACACACAGAGAGCACACACATACACTAAATATATACACAGTTGGCCACACAGATCAGACAGAGTGCTCACACGAACACAGCACCAGTGCCTCATTCTGCTCCCCTCTCTGGCTGGACAGGATGGAAGTCCACTCGTGAGAGTGGACATGCGCATATGTATACATGCATATGCACACATAATAGGAAGCCCATGCCAAGGAAAATGTTAGAAAGGAATTTAATAAGAAGATAGGGCAGATGGTACTGATCAGGCACAGGGCACAACCAGACAAACTTGTTAGCCAGCAAACTATTTACATGTGACTGGCCCTTTTATCCCCTTATCTCTCTATTTTCCCGCTCTTGTTCCTCCCTAAATAACCTAAAATCCTCTCTTGTCCTCCCTTTGGTTCCTCCTCTAAACATCGCATAGTAAGTCCTGTGCTATCCCAAACTGCTTTTCCCCCCACCCCGTATCCCATAATGTGTCCTACATACCTAGGCAGCAATCTCCCTGTTAGACAGAAAGGTAAAAGCAGCTGTTCATGGTGATGGGTTTCACGCTGGGACAATGGGGCTGATGGCTCTGCTAGGATAGCGCTAGGAGAGGCCTGGACAAGGTGATTGTTCCTCCCGAGTCCTTGATTTGGGTTCCTATCTGCCACTATCTCCCGTGTGCTCCTCTGGGCCTGGGCAGATGGACCTTTGATGGGCTGATGGCCTCTATGATGGGCTTGGGAGTAACCCGTCAGGGTATTATTTGGGTTAGTATTATCCTGCCAGTGTCTCTCTGAGCTCTTTTGTGGGTGTGAAGATGAAGTTTATCACATAACCCAACAGGGTGAGTCAGCCACATGCTGACTTAGAGGTTGTTCCTTCATAAAACAGCACTATAAGGCTGAATTGTACAGCAAGTCCTCATGCTTTACAATAAGGAATTCTAATATTTGTCCAGAAGTGAATAGGGGATGCACTATAATGCAAAATGGTAAATTTTCAAGTGCTTGATTCAAGGACGACTAACAAGCAAGGATTTTTATCAACCCAAGTAATGCTAGCTCAAGATTGTTTGCACTAAAAAGAAACCATCAGATATAATGAGACATTAACTGTTTCAATCTGGAAAAAAAACCCCAAACAACAACAACAACAAAACCCTTTTCAATAAACACATACTCCTATGTTTTAAATAAAGATCAGACATACTGCCTTGTTAAGCATTTGCTAATATTCTGCCAGAGTAATAATTGAAATATTAGTAGCAAGCATAATGTTTAATGGTCATTGTTTGGAAATAAGGTGCTATTTGAAGAGTTTGTTGAGATTTAGATGGGAAGGAGATTTGCCCTGTTGTAAAAATATGAAGAGGGTTTTTCTGTTTAAAAACCAAAGCACATCAGGTGCAGCTCAGCAGTTAATTATGCTTCTTACCTTTAGGGAGTGCCAGAACAATACTAGATTTAGCTAGCAAATAGAGAATTTTCCTGTTACAGTCCCATTCTTCTGTCTACATCTCCAGAACACAGTCATCTGAAAATTGATAGGCTGATAACTGTCCATAGTCTTTGCACACTTCATTGAAAAAATGTGGGAATCATGGCTGAGTCTAAGTGCAAGAGACTTAAAAAATACAACTGGGAGGCTGGGGGGGTGGGAAATCACTCAGTTCCCTCCCCCCAGCCTTACACATCTCAGCTACAGAGTTACTCAGTTATCTAAACATCAGTGCTGTTTTCCTCATTAAAATCAGTGACATATTGAAATATGAAATATTATACAGTATTCAGAATACAGACAGTAGATTCTATAAAAATGTTGACAACTGTTAATAATAAATAATATGCATATTCTTTACAATATTGCAACAAACTGCTAATTAAATGAATGTTTAAATGCCATAAAAATTCAGGACAGGATGAACATAAATCTGACTTTCAAGAGCTTTTGCAATTCTATCAGGATTAAATCCACAGATGCTGAAATGCAATATGCTTGCTCTACAAGCACCTGTTGTAAATATTTCAAATTAAAACAGTTAATTCTGGAAGAGGCAAAGGATTTTTTTGTTGCCTTTTTTTTTTTTTTTTTAACCTTAGCAGTGGTCTTTTTTATGAATTTATAATAATTTCACGGTTGGAATTGTCACTGTTTGAGCAGGTCATCTGGCAGCCAAAATCAAAGAAAAAATAAGCAAAATAGACTTAACAAAATGAAGGTTGAATAGGCCTTTGAAAGATATTTTATAAGGTGTAGGTTATTACTGGTAAAATTAGCGTTCACATGAATTTGGGTGTTGTAGTGGGAAGCTAGAAAGTTGTCACAGCCCATATGAAGTACCTGACTGTGTTTCCATGTTGAAGCTCCTTGCTCCTTTTTAAGATAATCGATTTTTTATAAAAGAAACCTAAAAATTTCATCAAATAAGTCATATCATATGAAAGTCATATCAAATAAACTGGAAAAATTAATTTACTTGTTGATTTTTGTTCTTTGACAACTTTAATTGCTTAAATATCATGTTGTTACTTTGTAGGCAGCTCCAGTTATTTCTTGTAGACCATAAATACAGTATAGCTGAATAAAAGCAAGGTTTCGGAATCTTACCCAGTGCATAAAACAGTTGAGGTAGCTTTTTAATTCTGTTGTAATGCAAGTATCAAAATATAAATATCAAAAACTACTTGTGCTTTTATCAGGTAGGAGTGAATCCTGCAGTGCCCTGAACTTTGCTAGCTTTCAGTGAAAACTCTTACCAGTAGAGTAGCTAGAAAGCTTAGACACAGTGATCTGGAACAGGACACCTTCTAACACAAGTCACATATAAAACATTAGTGCATCTATTCAGGCAGCACTCAGATTCTCCCTGTCCCTCCACACACACACAAAACACACAGAACAGCTTTATCGATACATGTTAGATTAAGTTTATAGCCAATAGCAGGGTTTTTGTATGCTCCTACGAATCATTGATTGTACAATTTATGTAACGTATTGTGTACCAACAATGAATGCCCAATCCTCAGAAATACAAGCAGAGGTTTACATTATGTACAAGTTGAGTCCAATTGTCAGTAACAGAGCTACTCACTTGCAGGGTGTTAAGCATGTTCGTAAGTATTTGCAGGGTGCAGGGCCTCAGGTTCCTTTCACATAAATTCAAAACATTCTTTAAAAAAAATTCAAAGACAGGTATTTTTAATAATTTCAAGAAAATTGGCAGTATGGAATTTAAGTGCTTGGTTGGCTCTTTTAGACATCAAAATTCATTCAGTGCCTAATGCCAAATGCTTTTGAGATTGATTTACAAGCACAGGACGTGACTTAATGGTCTTATGTTTCAATTCTTGAGGTTGAGGATAACTGTACGGATATGCTTGTTGTCTATGGGCACATGCAGTGTAAAAAAAATATTACTGAGGAACTTACTTCAACACTCTTACCAAGACCTTCAAAAATACCTTTTGTGAATTTAAGGATTCTCAGTTTCACTGGAAGTCATTGCAATATTATTCATTTGTAAAGACAACTCTATTTTACTTTCAGATTCAAGGCCTCTACCAGATGTAGCCCTGACAGGGAAGTGTACCCGAGAGTGTGATGAATATGGCCACTCGGACTCCTGCTGGATGCCAGTTCGCACTTCTCCTGAAAGAAAGCAGAAGAGCCAGCCAAAACTCTCCACTTTCATGCCTGTCGATGAACGGGGCAGTCAGGAAAAGCTGGCCAATGGAGAAGCCTCCCTCATGGGTGATCGCAACAGAAACCTCCTTAACAAAAAGTTGACCTCATCCTATGAGACCTTCAGCGCGGCTAGTTTCAGCAAAAATGAAGAAGGCAATCCAGAGGATATCCCCCTTACACAGACAGGGGAATACAAGCCATCTCCTGTCAATACTCTAACTAGAAGAGAAGTTTACCTGTAGGCTAAAAAGCAACAACAAAGTTATTTCATATTATAAAAAAAAAAAGGGGGCAAAAGTCTTAAAATCGAAACAATTTTAACAAAAAATAAGAAACAAAAAAGAGGGGGCCACCAAAGAGACAAAAGATCTGCCTGCCACTTCTGCCTCCATAGCAGGCATTTAATTATACTCTCTGCCTGACTATACTGTACAATGTAGAAAACATTGTTACTTGCATGTCTAATTCCCCCTCACTGGTTTTTATTTTCCTAAATCTATGGTTGCAAATTCTTCCCATAGTAACGAGCTTGATTAAAAAGAACACAATACACTGTTGTTCCCCCTCTGCAGAAGCATGAGTTAAGCCACTCATTTTGTTTGATTGTCATCTGGCTTGTTGAGGATAACAGGTCAGGGAAAATATATTCAAAACATATCATCTGAATATTGCTGATCCCCACCAGGGACAATCCTTCAGAAACCGTACAGACATAGAGATAAATATAAAGGAATAACAATTAATAGGCACTTTGTGAAGACCACAGCTTTAATATTCTCACCTCTCATCTGAGGCTGGAAGCAACAGAAATATGTTCAGCCTGAGACTGCCGTCAAAAACATGGCATACTTTCCTATGATTCATGAACTCTGGTTCTGTTTTATCCATAGAACAAACGTGTTCTTGCTGTGTCTCTTTCTCTCCTACTCTCTCGTTCTCTGTAATGATTACTTCAACATAAACACAATTAGTAACACATATACTGTAGGATAGTAATGATAAACTGTTGAAATCATTATTTTGGGCAAGACTAACATCTAGCTGGGAAGATCGTAATAACAAAAAGGCCAAAGATCACACAATGGATCAGGGGAACTGCTAAGTAATGGGGCTTGGCTTAGAAAACTAGTATATTCACAAATACACACATGTAGTCATAACATGTTTTGCACAGCAGCATAGTTCACAAGCCCAGATGACCTTTTTTTTTTTTTTCTAGTGTGGTTCAGTTGAGTGCCCAAAGGAACTGATATGGGTTTTTTTTGTAATGACATGATATGGTGCAGCAGATGCTACATATGATATGCTGCATATGCCAGTTCCAGGGAATTTTTAAGATCAAAATAAAAAACTAATAGTAGTAATAGAAGGCTGTGTTAATGAGAATGCTTGGTGGGATGGAAAGGGTGGACAATGGGATGAAGCAGTGACAAAAGAATGTTACAAGTCAAATACAAAACCTTCTTTTGAGAGTGCAGGGAATGATTGCTAAGTCTTCTGTCATCAGTGCTGCAGATTACCAATTGCGTCAATTATGTCAAACGTTCATCATAATGAACGTTTTCTTGAAATGCAAGCACATTAAAACCAGGAGAAGTGCAATACTAAATGATGTCAAGACTCGGAACATTTAGGCTAGGTAGAAAATGCTCTGATAAACACTGGTATGATACTCACCTAGTAGGCCAAGATGAGTCAAAAGGAGTCCAAGCTACCGTGATATGCAAGAGCTCTGGGCTGTAACGATACTCATGGTGAGCACTTCTTGAAAGGAAGAGGAAATGAAACAGGTTTTTGTGCAATAAGAGCAACAAAACGTGCAGAACTTCAACCAGTTGCTTTGTAGCTGATGCTATAGTAATAATGACAGACTGAGCTCAGACATTCAGACGAAAGCGACAATCGAACAACACAGCAAGGACAGCGCAAGGAGGGGGAAAGCATTCAAATCCCTGGCTGTTTAACCTGGCGTTAAGGCATGGCTAGATGGCTCTCTAGTATACTGTAGTCACAATGTAGCTTTGGGTAGTTTCTTGCTTTGAAGAATTGCATAGAAATAACCTTAAACAGCCTAAAGTAGAGGTTGGTAAATCAATACAACTCATCACATTTATCTTTTGAATTCACTTCTCCATATAGTGGGATGTGCCATTATTGGCAATTTCATTCTCCTCTCTCAAGTTTATTTTCTTCAAGTAACATTAGTTTGTGTATAGCAGTTATGATGAATGGGCGCATTTTAGAAAGAAAATATTAAAATCAAAGATTAATAATGATCAAACATTTTTATGTTTAATTATTTAAGTAATATGGAGAGATGCAAACTAGTACTTTGTTATGAGACTGCATACAGCAGTTACTGCTTTGTATAATCTGTAAGTACCTGTTTAAAAATGCTTCTAAAAATGCTTATGTAATGTACACACATTTTTCTTGCACGTTTCAACAGAATACACAATTGCATAACAAATTTTCCACAGAATTTCCTTTAATAAGATTTTATTTAATATTACACACAAAAAAAAAGATTAGGTAACTTGGTTCCATATATTCTTAGACCCTTTTTCTACAAGGCTAGTAATACAGGTCATAGAAGACCTTCAGATTAAATGGATCAGCAGTCACTCACCGATTTTTGCACCACATGACAGTCATTAAATACTTTACTTGTGTGCATCTCCTTAGATCTAAAATGGGTGTGAAAGAATTTTTTAAAAATTCTATCTACTGTAAGTATTCACAGTAATTCTAGTGGAACTAGCCACTATTAATATGCTGATTACTCTTCTGACCTGGCATGACACACAAATATATTTTGTGTTTGTATTTTTCCTCTTTATTTGAAATAGGTTAAATCTGGTGCCACTCCATAAATAGAGTGCTTTTGTATAAAAATAAACAAATAAAACTGTAAAAAATAATTAGGGTGAATGCGAAATATGCAACTGTGCCTTTTATACCTATTATTATGGTAAAGTGGTAGCTGGGTTTGGACACTGAGGGATAAGGGGCTATTCCCAACTTTTTTGAACCTGTATATTTACCTGTGTTTATTTTCTGAGAAATTATAAATAATATATTTAAAAACAAGCCTTTTGCCAAACTCAGTTAATGGACCAGTCTTCAGGATTATTAACACAAGGCTGTGGTTTATGTAGGTCTTGAGGATTTTTTTTTATTACTATTTGTGTGGGATTTGGGGTTGTTTTCATTTGTTTTTAATTCTGCTGCCTGGAAAACTATGATCAGTCTACATTATAGTTATTTAGCAAGGTGTCACCAGTTCATGTTGCCAGGAAAATTGACACAATTTTTTTTTTAATTTCTTTTAGCTGTCATCACATTTCAGTTGTACAGTGTAGAAATCATCCTTTTAATTCCTTCCATGGGAAATTCAAATGAGCTTTGCATGTATTTTACATTAGGGTACCTTTATAGATTGATGCGTTAATATATAACTTTATATGTATTAGAAAATTCAATAGCTTTGGTCTAAAATCTAATGCTCATTCTGGATCTCAGATCCACTATGTTTATTCAATATGGTTTCTGACTGGCCTGCTGCCTGAGTTTCAGGAAAAAAAGTTAAACATTATTTTTATGTGGGGAAGAACTTAAATGGGATTGAAAGGATTGGCTGAAAGGCTACCCTAGGAAGTTGTCAAGCAGGAAAACAAAGAATATGGATAAAGACCTTGCCATAAATCATCACCAAACACTTGTAAGGAACTTGAACAATGAAATATTTTTCCTTTTGTTTCATTGGTGATAAATATACAGTGTTTCCTTAAGGAATGAACCAGATGAAATAGCAATAGAAATGAAAGTCCATCAGTTAAGCTGTATTACTGACTAAAGAGCATAAACACAAGGAAGAAGACAACATTCATCAGCTCCCTGGGGTATGCTTTCAGACAATTCTTTCCTAAATTTTAAAGCACTTGCATTCAGTGTGGTACGATCTGTTTGTAATATTAATCATTGATTATTGTTCTGCAACTTGGATGTTGATAGTGAAGCAGAGAACAATTTATCATTGTTTATTATGAGTCACTATGCACGCAACTATGCTAAACATGGCAAAATGTATTAAACGCTAGTCCACCTCTATTTATGAAATATTTACATAATTTAATTTGCTTTTGTACAGTTTTATGTAAATAAATTGCTTGTCATTTTTGTCTCTGCAAATTAAAATATAACATGTTCAACTGGTCGCCCATTTGCCATTGTACTTTCTGTGACAGGCTATTCCACTTTTACTGGATTAAATCACATACTAGTTTGCATATTTAACCTATATTTTGCATGGCAAAGATTAAACTGCCTTTGTAACTGGCCACATCTTCAGCTGCTGATGTAGCTGAGGTTTTATCTGTCTACAGAGTGAAATTCAGTAGAGGTTATTGTCACTCAGGACAGCATACAGCTATTTTCTCAGTAGAAATAAAGTACTTGTAATGATAGCAGTTGTTTCCGATTACTGTTCAAAAGGGCTTCTTATTAAGGGGTGTTTAAAACCTTCATATTAAGGAGAATAACAAGTCTTAAGTAAAAGCTCAGGTATTTCCATTATGGAATGGCGATTTTCTAATTATCAGCAAGGTTGTTATTTTTTCCAAGAAGTTTGGAAATATTAGAATTTAGAAATCCTAAGATGTCAGTGAAGCATCTGTGCTGAAAAGAACAACACAATTAATGCAGCGTTTCAGAGCAAAATGTGAAATAAAAACCTCCAGTTCTTTCTAGCTGTGAATCAAATTATCCATCTCGGCATAACTACAGATCAAGAGCAAACCCTCCTCAAGAAGGAACATCTAAGAAGCAGAAAGAGTTTATTCCTTAGCTGTCTGCATCACACACTGCTTTTGTTTGTTTGTTTGTTTTAAAAAAAGCAGGTTCCAAAACAGCCATTAAGTTGGGATTTGCATCAGTTTTAATATGTGAAAAATATGTTTGTGGGGAGAGGGATCGAAGGTTTAAACTCACCCTCCTCGCTGTTGTTTTCTACAAAATACAGTATTGCTATAGAGACCTTGCAAATCATTGTGTACAATTTCCCACCAAACACCACAGAAAGTGCTGTTTCTATCTTTTTACCTTAGTTACAGATTAGGCTTTGATTTTTGTGAATACAGGCTGGCCAGAGCTTTTTTTTTTTTTTTTTTAAAATAAATGTTACGTTGCAAATTTCTTTCTCTGACTGTGCTTTCAGTTAACATTGCCTGATCTTCTCTAATGA